ATGAGAGATGCCTTCTCAAAAAAAAAAAAAAATGCCAGTCTTTTGACTTTGCTTGCCTTTTTCTTCCTCCAGGTGAGCTATCAGTTTTCTACCACAGATCCCACCCCACTGGCTAGGTTTCACCTTCTTTGCCCAGGGCACTGACTGGGCCTTTTATTCTTTCCTGGATTAATTGTCTTCTCCTTTACCTTGTACAGACAGCCCCACCCTGCTCCTTAAGAACTGGTGGGTAGAAATGATCTCATGTTTCCTGGCTTAAGCCCCTTCCCTAAACTCGAACTCTGGCAAACTTTGGCTAATAAGGAGCTTGGTGAGTTGACACGCTCCTGGACAACTGTAACCTTAGCTGCCTGACTGTGCAGTCCTGCCTTCCTGCCCACCTTGCTGTCAATGAAGGTGATGCCATCCTGGTGTCCAGCCAGTGCACCCACAGGCTTGGGGTCATCCTCCCGCATGGTGCGTCGATCCCACACTTTGCAGATGGCATCGTCACCCCCAGAGAATAGGATTTGGGAACTTATGTCAGCAAAGGCCACTGCATTCACATCATCCTCATGGGACTCAATCTAGGGGAGAAGGAAGCCAGGGAGCATCAGAGCTTGGAAATTTAGGGTCTCTTTCTAGGCCTTCTAAAAGGGCAAGGACCAGGATGCAGAGGCTTTAAGTCTCAGAAGCAATACCTGAAGGGTACGTCGGTTTTGTTCCCTATCAAAGACATACAGGCAGCCATCATTGGCCCTGAAAGAGAAGGGATAAAGAGGATCCTGGAGTGCAAACTGAGAGGACACTAATGCCTGGCCCTCTGCATGTGTGCTCTGCAGAGTTCCTGTTGTGAAGTCCTGCTGACAGGCAAGCTCTGGTCTCTACTTATATGGGAGATGGAAGAAGAGTTAGTTGTGCTTGCAAGAAGATTTGAGACCTCCCATTTCATACTGGGGAAATAGTGGGCAAGAGATGAGGCAACTCATAAACCTTGATCTTGGAGAAGGGCTGGTTGTTCTCCACAGCTGCCTGGGTAGGGGTGTCCAGTGCAGTCCCTGTAATGGCAGAGCTGGTCTCCAGGAGGAAGCCCCCCAACCAACACACTCACCCTCCTAGCACTTCTCGTCCATCTGAGGAGACAGCAATGGAGAAGACAGCAAAGCGACGCTCATCTGGCCTGAAAAGAGCAAAGGAAGAGCTGGGTTTTATGGACACTTATGAGGGGAAAAAGAAGTCCTGCCAACACGTGCCAGAATGGAGATCACATCATTGAGAACCCAGAAATAATCTGTAACCATCTATTCTACCCTGGTCTCTGGCTGACAGGATGGGTGGCTCCCTCCCAGGCATTCACACAGAAAAACTTGCAACTAGTACACTTTTCCCTCCAAGCAGGAATTGTAGTTCAAGAAGTTTGCTCCTGGAGAGGAAGTTTCTTATGAGTCCAATCAGGAAAGGAAACCAGTACCTTAGATCCAAGGCAGTATGTGTGTCTCCTTCCCCATAGATGTTGCAGATATGAACTAGGAGATGCAAGAGAAATAAGAATCTTTCAGGGTTGGGGGAAGGAGAGTGGAAGCGAAGCTAGGTATGAGATCTAGGTATAAGGTATGAGATGACCTTGAGAAAGGTCAAGGATATCAGCCCCTGGGAGTGAAGTTCTGGCATAGAGGAGATGGGCGTTTAGAGCCTGCAGGTCCCAGGCTGGAGAGGCGATGGAAGTCTAGAGTATACTCACTGTAATCAGACCAGCTGGAGTATAAGAAGTGGTTCCCATCAGGGGTGAAGGCCACATCCAGGACACTCCAGCCTACATCCCGGGCCTTGATGCTCTTGAATTTATGGAAGCGGCCAAAGCGGCAGTCATACAGTCGGATTGTCTGGTCTGTGTGAGGATCAGGCAGAATTAGGGAATACCCCCCACTGAAACCTCCCTCAAGCAGACCTTTCTCCCCCAGTGTTTCTTTGGTATCATTCTTTGATAATGGGAAACATGCTCTGGCTAAGCATCTCTAACTCAGGCTCTGAGCTCCCTTGGTCTGGGGCTTTCTAGCTTCAGTTGGGGGCACGTTCCTGTTACAGAGAGGTACACAGGACCACAGTCAGGTACCTTGGCAAGCAGACATGAAGATTTGACCATCTTTGCTGTAGATGCCACAGAAAGCCTTCTGAGAGTAGGTATCAGTGAAGCCCAGATCATTGGGCAAGAAGCTGGGGAAGCAGAGGGAAAGCAAGGATACGGGGAGCTTAGAAGGAGGAACAACCCGATTAGTAGAATCCTAGCAGAGCTAGATATGAGCACAAGGGACTTCTTCCCTTTTGGTTTTGGGTACAACCCCCCTTCTTTCATTCACTCTAGCATCCTCTCAATTCCTACACTTTTCCACTTTGCTTAAAGCTTCAACCCCATTTAACCTAACCTTAATATCCCTGAGGATCCTTTAACACCTACCCCTTCAAAGTTTAGGGGATAAAGCCTATCTGGCCCTTAAGAGTCTCTCCACCAAGCCCCATACTCACTGAGACATCACTCGAGACTGTTCTCCGAGGGAGAAGCTTCCATGGTGGCAGAGGCCCCGTTCTCTCTAAAGGAAGGGATTGGGGAATATTGCTAGTAGAAACAGAGGGCCACCTCAGCCACACGAAGCCCCCTCCTCCAAAGATATGGCTCTTGCTACTGAAATGGACAGCACACACAGTACTGTGTTCCATAAAACTGATGCAGGCAAGCTAAGAACTCTCCAGCTGCAGCATGTGAGGCTTCCTTGGAAAGTTTACTTCCCTCTTCTCAGGGGCTGGCAGAACTTCTCCAGGCTGGCTAGAGGTAGAGAGGCCTACCTGGTGCAGCATTTGAGGAAAGCTGTGCTCCTGGCTTGCTCGCCTAAGTCCCAGCTGCCCTGTGGCCAGTTCCACTTGTGTCTTGATCTCATTGCATTCCAGCTCCCGGGTGTCAGGGGTTGCATCCACTGTGAGTACCAAGGAGAAGGTTCACCCTAGGTCTTCCAGCCCCAGAGGACAGCAGAACTGTGCTCAAGCCCATTCAATGTGGCTGAATATACTGGGGCTGTAGTATACTCATTCTCTAAATTATCTCATCTTTTAGTTTAACCCATTGTTCTTTACCAGAATAAAAAGAACAGTTTTCTAGTGAAAGTCTCCTGAAGTTAGGGTCTCAGTCTGCTTTTCCTCTTACCAGGTGGGTTGTATCGGTCCCCAAGACGACCATCCCAGGCACTGTCATGCTCTTCCTCTGAGTCTGAGAGGGCCTGGATGAGCTGTAAATTTGCTGCACCTCCTCCCTGCACCAACCTCACTTGGCCTCTGTGGAGAGACCCCACGCCCCCACATGATAAAGGGGAGGATCCCTTCCCCAAACGAACCAAATTCAGAGTCAATGGCTATCCAGTTCTTGGACCACCTGCTACTCAAACCCTCATACTGTCCCCATTTTGAGGCTGACAGGACTTTTGCTGTTACTTTCAGTCTCCTATAAGACACAGTAGCAAACTAATTCAGACTCTTACAATTGAAGTAGAGAACCCCAATATTCCATGGTGGTTGACACACCTACTCCGTTGACTTCCCAGAGAGCTAAAAATTCTGAAAGCATTTCCTTCTGAGCCTCTTCCTCAAGAACCCAGCATAGAACACAGTATTCTGAGGGGATCCCCAAACATTTCTTGTTCCCAAGTCACAGTTAAACAAAGACAGCTGCACCCATTTCCAGTCAATTCCTGGTGGCCACATCCTTCAAAGCATTCTTTCCTCAAAAACAGGGTTGGAGTTAGATTACTTTAAACTTGTTTTTCAAGGATATTCACGTGGCCTTGGATCACGTGTCAGTAACTTCACTAAGTTCAACATCCACCTCCCCAACTCACCTTTTTACATCATTTCTTTCCCACCAGAGCCGTGAGTTTTTTTTTTTTTCACTTATTTGGAAAATAGATTACATCTGTGTAATCATAGCTAGAGAGGCTCCCTGAACAGTGCCTTCAAACACAAGAGTTGTCTTGGTGACCCTCCCTAGGCAAGAACCACTCTTATCTGGCATGGAACTGACAGAAGGGAAGGTTGTACTGCTCAAATAGAGCAGCTGTCCTGGGCTAATCTCATTCTCTGTCCTCTTTAACTTTCCTGCCTGGAGTTGGGATCAAGGGAGTGTGTTGGTGCCTGGTGGAGACACACCAGAGGGTAAGTTACCTGCGGAGGAGATAGGCCAGTACCTGGGCCAGATCCACATCTTCATCCTCCTCTACGTCTTCCTCACTCCGACCCAGACCAGCACCTCTTCCGGGTAAGCCCTCGGAGGGGTCTCCGGACCCAGTTCCTGCGCTGCTGCTATTCCGTGATCCCATCTTCTGGTCACAGCATCCTTAGGTCCTGTACGGGGACTCCTCCTGTCACCTCCTTGGGTTTGGCGAAAGCAAAGCCTGCTCTACAAATACCAGTGTCTCCTGAGATAGGGCAGTAGCTATCTCTAGGAGGGTGACCCTTCCTAGGAACTGAGGTCCCTTCTCTTTAGCCTGTGACAACTCCCAAAGCTTCAGGAACACAAACCTCCAATCCTGTGAAGCAAAAAAAGCACAGAGTGAAGCCTAAAGCGCTACCTTAGATCACCAATGAGAATCCTTTGAAGAGGAATTTCTTACTTTTCTACCTCAAACTCACCTATCAAAGTCCGGGGTTCAGGGTCGTTGAATTACCAGGCAACCTCTCTGGCCGACCAATCAAAACTCCTCGCGGAAGAAAGCGCCTCATTAGCTTATCTCATCTAACCTATCAGATACCTTAGGACTCAGAGACCCCACCCGACACCCCCTGTACCGACCAATCAGAGCACTACCTTGCGAAAGCGGCGGCAGCGACAACCAATGAGGTTAGAATTCGGCCCAACACCCCTTCCTGTCCAGCCTCACGCCCACGTGGTGTGCCGGGGGTGTGTACGTCAAGGGGAGAGGCAGAAGGGAAGCCCTGTAGTACCTCCCACTGAAGCCAGCGGTTACCGCCCCGCGCAAGACCACCCACCAGACAGGAGCAGTGGCAGGACCGCAGCACCGCTAGGCCTTGTTTACAACGACTGCTGCAGCACCGTCGGCCTACCGCTCCTCCGTCACGCGCCTCCTTCGCCACGCCTCTCCCGGCTTTCCTGCTAGCGGACTTCAGACGTCACGCGACGTCTCTGTGGCTCCGCCCCCTTGGTCCCCTAAATGGACAGCTGAGCATGGTGATTGACAGGTGGGCGGGAGAAAGTGTGTGCACGGACTGTTAGGGGAGGAGAAAGTGCGCGACAGAAGGCGTTCGCTCCTTGTTGGGAGAAGTGGGAAACTGGCGGTTTCCTGAACCAGAGACGACGGAACTACGCTTACTGTGAGGGGCGGGGCTTATAAAATAAGTTGGTAGTTCGCTACCGAGGGGTGTCTTCTCAAGGGGAACTGTGTGCTGTCGATATCTATAGTCCATTTGGCTTCGCTCTTCCAGACGATTTGTAAGGGCCTCCTCTTTCCTCCCCGCCTTCCACACCCGGCTCCAGCCTTATTTTACTTGTCTGCAGCTTCAGTCAACCCTGCCGTAAGGGGTGCCTGGCGCCTTGCGGTTGTGTTCATGTCACAGATGGGGACCCAGGCTTCCAAACCCTCCCTTCCGGGTTTAGCTCTCGGAAGCCTTGTTTTTGAGGGAACCTTCTTGTACTGACCTCCCTTAGCCTCTTCGGCAACTTTTCAGATGACCCCTGTTTTCCCTCCTCGTTTGGAGACGCTCCTTAACACACCAGTGAATCGCTACGGGCCTTTCCGGTTCCGTTAGGTACCCTGAGACGCTCCCCTGGCGCTCCAGGATTTGCAGATCTTCTCTAGACCCTCTGTTCTCGCGGTGCTGCCCCTCCGCGGGTTACTGGTCCGGGGAGGGCACGCGCGCCGCCTCTTTTACCTTACTCCAGGCTTATGGGTAACCCGCTGAGTCCAAGGTTTGTCACGTGTCGGGACCCTCGCCCACGCTGCAAGTTGAGTGATCTATCTCCGCTGTTGCAAGGGCCCTAGGTCCAAGTTGCGCTTGAGGTCTCTCAGCCCGCGCTGTCTTAGACGTGCTGTGAGCACTCCCTCGCGAAGGTGTGGTCCGACCTTCGGGCGACGACTCTTGGTCTCTAGACCGCTAGACTGGAGCCTATCACCTCTGGTCGCGAGGGCAGGTTTCCTGTTGGCGTGCGACCTGTAAAGGCTCCCGGCGCTTGGTTTAATGTGCTGAAATCATTGTCTTGAAATTCTTAATCGTTTTTTGAAGGAGCACCCCGCATTTTCATCCTGCTTAGGGCTCTCCTAATTATGTAGCCTGTCCTGCCGGTCACCCATCTTTGTCCAGATTACTATCTGTACCCTGTAACGTTTATTGAAAGCTTAGGATTCTGTGTTTTGTGGGTTATCCAACCTGGAAAATCTGGAATCACTTAAAAAGTGACCATTTCCTCCTCTTTGCCCTTTAAATTGAATTCTTCAAGTCCTGTACATAAACGTCAACTTGTTGACTTCCTGCCCCAACTAGCCTTGGGTTGTTTCCTGCTCATTAGCATCTCCACTAGATGGCGGGCTGGGCTAGAGAGGACAGAAGGAAAGGAGGTTTGCTTTCTCCTGCTCTGTCCTCCTTTTCCCCACATGAGCAACCAGCCTGGTGACTGCACAGAGCTCCTGGGACACGTGTACAACTTTGGGCAACACAAGGGAAAGTTCTGTCTTCTGAAGTAACCGATGACATGTGTTCATGTTATCTTCTTGTAGTATCCTCTGTAGGAGGAAAGGGTGAAGTATGCTAATTTACCCAGTACTTAAACGTGTTCACTATAAAGCAATTGAGTAATTATGGGATTTCTAATATTATCAAGTCCTGTATCCTGAGAACCTGATTTTTTTGTGTGGCAGATAGGAGGCACAGCTGTGATATAGAAGTTAAAAACCCCTTAGCCCTGAGTTTGAATAGGACTATCAGTATGAATTCATGAGGTATTTTATCTTCTTACCCCATCCACCAAAAAGGTCTAGAAACTGCCCAATCCAGTAGCAATATTTCTCCCACCCAGATCTTAAAATACCTTTACCAACAGAAAGAAACTAGAGCTTGGAGAAATGACTGATTATAGGTCTGGGGCAGGAAATGTACAAGATGAGCAAGGAACCAGATAGCAAAGACGCCAGGAGACACTATCAGGTTAATGTCAAAAGGCCTCAGGAGTCAAGCTTTCACGGCCAACGATGGGACAACTGAGCATTAATAAAGGTAATTTAATAAACACTAAGTATGTTAAAATCTATGAGTTCATAATAGGGTATGTAAGTGTATGTGTAACTAATTGGTCACCTTTATAGAAGATTGTAGGAAACCAAATGATTATATTGACTCTGTATCTTTATGTGTAAAATGGTACCTACTCAAAGAGTTGTTTTGTAATGTGCTTAGAACGGTGCCTGGTGCACAGAAGGTACTATAGAAATGTAAGCTGTGTTAATATTGAATAAGCTTTCATGAGTACTCTCTGAGTCTCAGATTCAGGTCAGGCAGGAGGAAGAAGAGGTTTGAGAATCGACTGGAACTGTGTTACCAGGGAATGGGGTTATAGAGACTTCTGCATCTCTGAATTAGAGCTCAGGAATTTTAGGTCTGGAGGCTGTACTGAGTGGCTTTTCAAACCTCACCTTTTAATACCTCAAGACACAGAGTAGACTATGCCATCTTCCAGCAATTCCTACTTACATGGTACAATGGGAGAACTTCCTGTGAGAGAGATCCTTGATACCACCAGGCAGCACTAGGCCAGGCTGCACTGGGGATCCAGCTGCTTGTATGTGCTGGAGAAGATGACTGTGAAATTGTTAGAGGGAGGTCTGTGAAGACAGGCAGGAAATGAAAACAGCACAAACGTTACGTAAAATAAATGAGCATCTCATTATTGGACAGTGTGTTGGAGAAGGTTTGTGGCCTGGTCTCATGGCACTCAGAAGATATTAGTTCTATCAGATTGCTCATATTTTCTGCAAGCCTGGTGGCTCTCCTATTTCTAGATGGGGGGCAGGGTGCTGTGCTCTCTAGCTTTCCTGGAGCCTCAGGTCACATTTTGCGCACACGTGCCTCCAGGGCCTCCAGCTCAGCCAACACCTCCTTGGGCAGATCCTGGTTGACCTGCTCTGTCAGGTAGCTCCGAATGTCATGAACCTCCTGTTCCCAGAAGTCCTTGGGGAGTGAGAACAGCTGGGTAGTGTCTATGGCTCCCAGGCCTCTGAGATCCAAGGCACCTTCCTTTGGCACCAGCCCGATGGGTGTCTCTCGGGCACTGTCTTCTCCCTCTAACCGCCGGCAGATCCAGTCTAGCACTCGAGCATTCTCTCCAAAGCCTGGCCACAGGAAGCGACCTGCCTCATTCCGGAACCAGTTGACATGGAAGATGCGGGGTAGCCGGGCCCCCTTGTGCTCCTCCATGCTCAGCCAGTGTTCTAGGTAGCGCCCAAAGTTGTAGCCGAAAAAGGGCCGCATGGCAAATGGGTCGTGCATAATGATCTTCCCTGGGGAGAGTAGAAGAATGGGTAAGGAATCTTCCTCCTCACTGGAGAAGGGCACCCTGTATCCAGCTGGAGGAAGTTGTGAAATGGTGGTGGTTCTGGCATCTCCTCAGGTCAGGGTGAAGGAAAGAGATCAGGAAAGAAGATACATGTGGAAAGGGGCAGCAAGAGGTTTGGCCCAGGAAGGGAGAGGAGGCAATGTGGGCACATGGGAGGGGCAAAGGGAGGGCGCTCACCTTTGTGTTCAGCTGCAGCAGTAGATTCAGAGCGCATGGCGCTGCCCACAAACACTCCATGGCGCCAGCTGAAGGCCTCATATACCAGGGGTACTCCTAAAACACCAATGAACGGGGTCTCAGGCTGCTTTTTTCTCTAGACCCTCACTTCATGCCTTCTGGTGATCTTGACTCCTAGTCTCTCCTAGGACCTCAGCTTCCCTCCAATTTTGTGTTCTCCAGGGGACAGCTCTAGAGAGAGACAGTGGGTCATCCGGGCTGAGGCTCTCTGAATTTTAAGAACAACAGGGAGGTGGGTCCTGATACAGAGCCAGACCCTCTACTGAGAAGGCATGGAGCTCACTTGATGTTTACCTTTGGGTCTGCGGCCTCCAAAGATGATGGCATCAATGGGAACACCCTCGGGGGCCTCCCAGGCTGGGTCCATGATGGGGCACTGGCGAGCCGGGGCACAGAAGCGAGAGTTGGGATGTGCACAGGGCTCCTTGTCACCTGGCAGAGGAAATACAAATTCCATCACTTCCAAGGGCATGTATATGACCAACACATACATACATTTGTTTGTACTCTTGCACATTTATTTTTGCCTTATCAGTTCCCTGCAATCTCATGTGTTAAGGAGCAGGGAGAAAGGAGCCAGGATATTTCCTCCAAAAGACTAAGTTATTTATTGAGAATGGTGCTGCCAGCTGAGCTATGTGAGGAAAGAGTGGGAGAGGAATTGGAGTTCAGCAAGATACTAATGTGTATGCCAAGCTATAACCACTTGGCACTGACTAGTGCCCAAGGGAATAGGGTACATACTGGCATAAGGTTATAACAGAAATTTTCCCCCAGAAACTATTTCTTTATGGGATTATTATTTAAATACTCAAACCCAAAGCAAAAACTGAGACCATCAGGTCAGTATTTCAGACAATTGACTTTCTATCAGCAAATGGGGGAAGACAGAATCTCCTGAGCTATCAAAATGCAAATAGGAATTGATTTTAATCCTAGCAGAATTCTGGTGATTTCTCTGGGTCTGCTCAGACTGATGGAGTGCGAGTGCTTAAAGAACTCAGACAAGGATGTAAACTGAGGAGCCCAAGTCATCTGGCCCCTTTAGGTTACCCTGGAGAGGGGATGGGACCAAGTCAGTGGCATAAGTGTAAAGCACAATCATGAGGGACCTGAATGGACATGGTACCTTCTCTGCTGGAAGTTGCTGGTCAAACCTAGGGGCAAGGGAGTCAGAGCCAGCCCCCCAACCCCACTCCTGTTCCTGCCTCCATTCTCATATAAGAGCTGTCCCTTACACTTCTCTCTCGCACTTTCATCAGCCCCCAATCCAGGACCCTAGCACAGGGTATCTTATTCTGGAAATTGAAGCTGGGCAGGACACACCCTAGTCATAGCCCTGAATCCAGAAATGATGAAAGGGTTGGGGAACGAGCCTTCAGGGAAATATGAACACTTCTTGGATTTCCCAGTTGGGTGGGGAGGCTGAGGAGGGTTAATGATGGTGTAAGAGAAAATGAAGGGTGTTAGATGAGGAGGCTGACTGCTAGGCCAGTCCGGAAAACTTGAATGTAGGCTTCAGTGACCACATTGACCATCCCCTGCCATGTTCTTCCTTGTTCCCATCCCCAGGTCTGTGGGTTCTCTGGCTGCCAAAGGCCAATGAGAGCTGAAGGTCCAGAGTGCAGGGCAAGGGGGAGGGGCAGGGCAGCAAGGCACCAGGGGTAATGACAGGGTTTGAAACTAGCTTCTAGAAGAGACTAAAGAACTGGCCTGATTTCATTTGGAGAAGAATGGGGGTGTATTATTTTGGAGGGACAGGGGAAGGGTAACAGTAACATCACCGACCTTTAGACGATGGCTGTTAGGTAGAAGGATGGTGGAAACCAAGTGGCATGGGGAGGGGCAGGCTTCCTCCTTCCTAATGGGTTGAAGTTTTATGGATTGTGCTTGGAGCCCAATTCCTTCTGTAATAACTTTCAAGTTATTCCCTTTCTTTTTCCTTTTTAAAAAAATATCCAGCTTATTGAGGATTTACCACCATTTGGCACTGTGCTAAACCCTTTGCATGCACTATTTAATTAAATCCCCCAACAACCTGATGAGATAGGTACTATAATAACCACCCAACCCACTGATGGGGAAACTGAAGCTCAGGGCAGTAAACAACTTAGCCAGGTCACAAAACCAGTGCTTGGTGGAGTTCGGTGGTGAACTGAGATCTTGCCTGGGAATGGAAGCTGAGCATTTATAACTTCTTGTGCTTCCCAGTGTCCCTGAAAGATGGCTGCAGATTGTTGAGAAGGCTTTTACATCATCAAGGTGCCAAGCCCTGGGGGCAACGTCATGACTCCTGTACCCCACATACCAGGTTTCCAGGGTTTGCCCAGCCAGGAAGTCACAGTGATGCCAGGTGGAAGGGGCTGGTCAATGCCCTCCCAGTACACGCCGCCATCACTGGTTTCAGCCACATTGGTGAAAAGAGTGTTACTCTGGATCGTGGCCATGGCATTGGGATTGGTGGTGGCAGAGGTGCCAGGGGCCACTCCAAAGAAGCCATTCTCAGGGTTGATGGCCCGGAGTCGACCTGTCAAGAGAAGTGAAAGAAAGAAAGAGCCAACCAGGAAGAGTTGAGCAACGTGGAAGGTCCTGTTGTGCCCCTCCCTGCCATGAGCTGGACTCTGTATCTGATGATAAAGGCTTTGTGTCTCTAGGGCAGCTGGGCTGCCAGGAGGGAACAGGCAGAGTCAATTGTTTAGGAAAAGGTTCTTACTGACAAAGTTCACCATGAGCAGTGGAGAAGAGACTCCTATACCCTGATAAGTGTGGACCCAGGGCCTCTCACCATCACTGTCAAACCTCATCCAGGCGATGTCATCCCCCACACACTCCACTTTCCAGCCTGGCAGTGCTGGCTGCATCATGGCCAGGTTTGTCTTGCCACAGGCACTGGGGAAGGCAGCTGCCACATAGCGCTTCTTTCCCGTGGGGTTGGTAATACCCAGGATCTGACCGTTAGGAGAGAAAGAACGAGGAGGTCACTAAAGGTCTGGCATCTGATTCACTGAACAGGTGTGCCGCCTTGCCGCAGGGCCTGGGGTGGTGGGCAAGGGGAAGCCCCTGACATTCAGCCTAGGGTGAAAGCTTTGGGCATTTGGAAGAGTCCCTGTCCACCAGCCTGGCCTGGCAGCTGGCAGTGAGGAGGCAAGGCTGAGGCTGAGTGGTCAGGCCCCGCCCCTGCCCTGACCCCACAGCTACCCAGATCCTCACCAGGCCCTCACCAGCATGTGCTCTGCCAGCCAGCCCTCATCCCGGGCCAGCCGAGAGGCGATTCGAAGGGCAAAGCACTTCTTGCCCAGCAGGGAGTTGCCACCATAGCCGCTGCCGAAGGAGACGATCTCCCGCTGGTCAGGCACGTGGCCAATCAGGGTTTTCTCTGGGTTGCATGGCCAATGGCTCACTGGCTCCCCTGGGGACAATGGGGTATTGGGGCTGCTGGCAGGAGCAACAAGAACTGGGGTGTCAGGGGCCCTGAAGGGATCAGGGGTTGGCAGGAGAGATACTAGGGAGCAGTGGTGGTGCCAGTGGGTGGCTAACCCCCCCAAAACATCCATCAGTTTCCCATACCCCTATTCCTGGACATAGTAATTGATTTTTCTCAGTCTTGTTCAAACTGTCCTACCAACACAGCTTCACCCCCAACCCAAACTACTGCCCTAAATCTTGGGAATTAGGTGTCTCACTAATTGGGATGGATAGGATTTGGGGTTCCCTCTGAAAGCAAGCAGACCTCTGGGTCCTCCCCTGGGCAGAGCAGGCACTCACCTTGCCCAGTGAGGGGCTGGCCCACGGAGTGCAGACACTTCACAAAGTTGCCATTTCCCAGAGCCTGAAGGATAGGCGTCCCCAGCCGGGTCATAATACGCATGCTTGCCACCACATAGGCTGAGTCAGTGAGCTGCACTCCGATGCGGGACAGTGGAGAGCCCACAGGACCCATGCTGAATGGAAGCACATACATGGTTCGGCCTGTGGAGGACAATGCCATCTGGATGAGGGTTCCAACCTGTTCATTCCTTCAGCGCCCCTGCTTCTGTGTCCCTGCCATGGTTACCCTGCATGCAGCCTGGAAACCTCTCATCCACAGCTTGCTGGAACTCAGCTGGGGACATCCAGTTGCCCAGCTGCCCACGGGCCCCACCAGCCGGGAGGGGCACTGTGTCCCGTTGAGAAGGAGTTACAATCACCGTCTTGCTCTCTACTCGCGCCACATCCTTGGGGTCTGTGCGGGCCAGCCAGCTGGGGGAGAGGAAATTATCAGGAAGACATGGCCAGCAGATATGCCTCATGCCCAGACCCATCTTCCAAATCCAACTTTGACTCTAGGTCTTATGTTGGCCTTATTTTTTCCCATTGTTTCACCTCAGCTGCTTCCTCTAGGTTTTGTCCCATCTAAGGGGTACAGAGGGGTACTAGGCCTGAGTTCCCTCAGCTCTAGCCCTCCAAAGGCCTTTGCCCCTAGCCAAAACTCCCTGAACTTGTGAGTTTAAAAAAAATTAAAGAAAAGAAAGAGCAAAGGCATTTATTAGTAGCTTCTTCACTTAACATAAAAATACAAAACAACCCCAACAATTCCTTATTCTGTTTCCTCCCAAAGCTCCTACTTTGCTCATTCCATTGGGATGGCCTAGGGGGGGGATCTGATTTTTTCTTAGTAAACCCAAAATAGCCTCAGTCAAGGCAGCTGCCCCCACCTTGTGGGACACTGGGCTCAGGGCTTACCAGTTATTATATTTGGGGAGCTTTTGGATGAGTCCCTGCTGCTCCATCAGGGCCAGTGTGGCAGTGTTCTCGGCCTCTGTCCCATCACAGATGTGGATGCCCTCTGGTTGGCACAGGCGGGCACTGCGTTCCACAAAGTCTCGAACCCCAGCAGGCAGCTGGCCCAGATTCCCATTGAGTACCTGCAGGGTCTGGACACTGCGCTGTGATGACCAGCCCCAGGGGCTTAGCCCATGCCAGCTAAGCCTGCAAGAGAAGCAGCAGAGTGGTAATGAGCCAGGTGTTAGGAAGGATGAGCAAGTCAAGGGGATAGAACACTTGGGCTGCTGGGGAGCATGCTAAAACAGGTCTGGGTGCAGGTGCCATGAAGAACAGGTTGGAGAAAGTGTGTGGGATGAGTTTAGGTATATCCTGTGGCCTCGATGAGGCTTCATGAGGGAGTCTCCTAGTTAGCAAGGGACAGGTATTGCCAAATGAGGGTAAAGGCCCATGCATGGCTGTGTGGAAGTTTATGTGCTGGCATGCTGATGTTACTCTTAGCTTAGCCCATGCTCATTTTTAACTATGTCTGGTCAATTTTGGAAATAAGCAGATGCCCTATGGCCCAGTTGTCAATAAAACTGTGCCCAGGTGGCAGTTCATGTGTCCAGTGTTTGAAGTTTTCACCCCTGTTCTTTCCATTCTTAAGAATAGTTTTTACAAGCTAACAAGGCATCAGTTTTCATTTTTCCTTCTGGTGTCTATGCTGTAAGCCTATGAAAGCCTCAAGCAAAGGACCCAGTCTTTGAAATGGTACTGTCCCAGGTTTCTAGATTAGGACTCCTGCACAAAGGGTAGGTGATTGGATGTTGAGGTTCCAGGCATCAGATTTGCTGCTGTCCACCTGGGCCAACAAGGATTGCATGAAATGTCGTTGCTGGATAGGTATTTTTGAACCCTGTAGAAGGGTGACTGTTGGGGAATGTCACTGGCTGAAGTTCATGCCCTGGTTCCCAGGAGAGCAGGGTCCCTGTTGTCTATTCCCTCACACCCCGGGAGAGGGAGAAGCTGAGTCTGCTCTGATTGGCCTGGACCCAGGGTGGAGTGACCCAGAGAGCAAAGGCCAAGGGACAGAAGTTTCTCTCCTCCTATGCCAGGGCCTTACCCACAAGAAACTGCTGCACACACCCAGACCACGTGATCCTGTCCCTCCCCTGGCTCTCTTTCCCAGAGGACACATGCCTGGAGAGCTTTGGGTGTCCATGGTAAGGTGGACCATCGGATTGCTGGAAGTTCAAACTCAGAGGGTGTAAGCCTGGGGAAGGGAGAAAGCTCAGGCCATGGATGCAGGAGCTGGAACCTGGCTGGAGCGGGAGCTGGGGCAGCTTCCACCAGGCAGAGCTGGCCCCAGGGAACGAAGAGGAGGGCTCCTAGGACTTGCTGCGTCAGACAGTTTTCCCAGAGCATTAATTTTAAAGGCATACAGTCTTGGGGAGAGCCTCTCTCCACAAGGGGCTTGGCTCAGGAAGTCTCTTGTGAGGCTCCTCCTCTCAGCTTTAGTTCCCTAAGAGGGCCCTTCTTCTTTTCCTCTGCTCCAGAGACCACCCACAAGGGCTGGCCAACTGGAGCCAGTTGTGGTGTTAGCTCAGACTATGGGATAAAAGCTGGGGAGAAGGGAGGCTACAGAGGGAAGACAGGAAGCTGTGAAAAGGGGCAGAGGGCAGGGCCTAGGGACTACCGTCCTGGACAGGGGAGGAAGTCAGCCATGTAAGAACAGAGGGCAACTTAGCCCTCTCCCCCACCTCGCTCCCTCCTTCCCCTAGCCCCAGGTTCCTAGGGCTGCTGCCCGGCCTCCCGCCAGACTTCAGTCTGCGGGAGGCCAGAATGGATGTTTACCTTCTACCTTCTTTCGGGAGCTCTGAGCTCAATACCCCAGGGCCCTACTGCTCCCCGTCGCAACCTGGGGCACAAGAGTTACATCTGTAAAGGGAAGGAGACCCAGAGCTAGGGCTCAGCCGGGAGCGAGAGCGGAGGGGGAAGGAAGTTCTGAGAGTGGCAGACAGAAACAGCGCGGTCAAAGACCAGCAAAGCAGAGTTGGGGTGGAGGGACGGAAACCGAGAGACCCGGAGCGCCTGAGGCCGCCCCTGATCTCCGGAGAGACGCACGGACCGAGAGGCCTATGATCGAGAAACACTCGCCCCCTGCCCGTCTCCTCCTCGGCTGACTGGCGAAGGCGGGAGCGCGGGACAGCGCAACTGGCAGCCCCGAGGGGGCGAGCGCGGTGGAAGGTGCGGGTCGGTCCCGGGCTGGGGATCACTCACCGCAGGCCGGGGCGGTACACAGCGGCCATGGCACCTGGGGCTGCGGGAAGGCTACAAGAACCGTGCGGAGCCGGGTAGATGTGGAATGCGGGGAAGGAGGGAGAGCGGCGAAGCGAGCGGGAGCAAAAGGCACGGCGGGAGGCGCTTAAAAAGGAGGCGGTCGGGCAGGCGCAGGGGCGGAACCTAACAGGGACCCTCTCCCCGCCCCGCCAGCCTGCTAGCTCTCTCCGCCACGGGGCTCCAGGTCCCAGGTCCGCCTGGCCGCCGCCCCAGCCCCCCAAACCATCTCTCCCATTGGAGAACTGGGTCCTGTCCTCTGCTCCCCCTTCTCCAGGCCCCGCCTCGCCCTTGCACATGATGTAACTTTGAGGACTCTTGCTCCTGGGAGATAGTAACAGGGAGACATTGGGTGGTAAACAAGCTAGGAATGAGGGGGAGGCCAGGGACAGAGGACCCCCGGAGGCTGGAAGTCTAGAGGCCCGCGTTTGGGCATTGCCTTTCCCCTTCTTCCTGGGACCGAGCACTCGGAGCCCCAGGCTCTTCTGTTTTCAGGCCCCCAAAGCTAAGGTCCCCTCACTCCCCAGCTCCCACGTACTCATTTCTTCACTGCCTGATGAGGGCTCCCTTCTGCTTGCCATCAAATGGTGGTGTCTGTCCACCCCAGAATCTCCTCTTTGGGCTTCTCCCTTGGTGATCCTCTGCCCATTCTACTGAAGAATTCACCTGCCCCACCCAGCCGCCACCATAAAGTTCTCAGGTAATTAATTACTCAAGTATGTCTCTGTCTGGACATCTTGAGGCAACTGGGTATCACTCCAGATGCCACAGCACTTCAAACTCAACTTGTCCATGGTAGGCATCTGCCCAGCATCCACTTCTCTTTCCTGGTAACGTCACCCTGATGTTCCTTCGAGCAACCACCTCTGTCTGTGTGGTCTTGTGGGCCTTCTGCAGGCAGAGGCTCTGTTTGGCCAATGTTGGCAACAGCAAGTGGGAGTATTTGGGGATGGGCATGAAATACCACTCTGGGAATTTTTCTGCAAACTTTCAAACTGAGCTCTTTTCATGCCAGAGTTGCTGAGCTGGTAGTTGACAGGCCTGGAGCTGCTGGGTGTCAGCTTGTCAGTGAGATGCAGGAACCTGCCTGAGATGCCTAGAAGAAGCAGAGCAGAGGGATAGAGCTAGCCACAGATACCTGATTTCAGTTAGAGGAATCAATACATATCTTCTCTTGCTTAACCTAATTTTCAGTGAATTTCTGCCATTTGCAACAGAAATGATCATGATTCTTAGATTTCTCAGAGTTCTGTGCTGAAACATAGTAGGAGGAGAACTGGCATTCAGCCTTGGGCTTGTTGCTGGCTCTTATCTCTTCCACCCAGGCTCCATCCTGGACTCTTCCCTCCAATCCCCACATCTGAACTGTCACCTACTCTGCTACAAACAGCTACCTCTGTGGCTACCCTTTGGGATTAGAGGTGTGTACATCACTTCCATAATCCTGTACCTGCTTCATGACTCTCATATCTCAGTGAATGGCACCATAAGCTACCCAATTGCCCTAAAGGAACCTGAGTCAGTCTAGACTATTCCTTTCTTACATTCCAATGACAGTCAGACAACAGGACCTTTGGATTTGTACTTCATAATTAGCTCTCAAATCTGTGTCTATACCCATGGCCACTGCCTTAGTTCAGGGCTTATCTCTCACCTGGCTTTAGGTGATAGCTCCTGTCTTGCCAATGGGTTTCAGCCCCAGGCAAGTTCACTATGGATTCAGTGTGACCAAAGAAAATGACAGCAAAACATTCTTGGGGTGAAAGGGTTATACCCAACTTTATTTCCAGGTGGCAGGTCAGTAACTAAAATCCCGTTCACTCAAGCAAGTCTGTATGCAGCAAGCCGGTTTCTGCCTCTGGGCCCCTCTGTCTGCACAGCCATCCCACACAGCCATTCTCCGGCCTCTCTGCACGGTTGTCCCACACAGCTGTCCTCTGGGCCTCTGTCCTCGGCGCTGCCACCACTCCGGCCTCTGCTCTGCTCTCCTGCAACCTTGCAGCCCTGCCACCGTGTTGCGCAGAGCACTGGGCAGAGCTCTTTTTATAGAGTCAACAGCTGTGTATTGCCCACAGGTGTGCAGTGAGCTAGTCAACCATGGCCAGGTGAGAATCCTGGCCACAGGAACTCTCATTTTATCCACAGCTCCTAAGCCCCATCTTGCCCTCCTGCCTCTCCAAATGGTACCCCTCCCCTCCCACCAAGCTACAATGCAAACTCTGCATGTAAGTTCACTTTGTAGAGTTAAGAGAGAGGGATAATGTTTCATGGGTAGACAGTAGGTGGCAGGCTCTGCCAGCAGCTTTACATGCATCATCCCATTCAGTTTCACAATCATCCTGTTTTACAGATGTGGACACTGAGGCTTATAGAGGTTAAGTCATTTACTCAAAGTCTCATAGTTGGTCAGCAGGAGAAATGAAATCTGAATCCAAGTCTTTCTGATTCTAATTACCAAGTTACTATTTTCCTTGCACAATCCTGTACTGCTGCCTTGGTTTGCCATTGAAAAGAAAAAGATCATATCACTCTCAGGCTTACAGTCCCTTCCCTGTGAGGCTTCCTATCCCATAGGAGCTGATGTCCTTCATAATCTGGCGCGTATTTATCCAACATTATCATTCCACCTCCCTACTTGCTGCCTTCTCTCCTATATACCAAACTCTGCAGTGTGCAGAGCACTTCTGTGAGTCCTTTCAGTCCTTCAGATTTAAATTAAACATCACCTCACAGGTGAAGCCAGTTTGCCCCTTAGACTTACCTAGCTCATCTGTATTGCTTCTATGCTGTGTACATACCTGTACTTTTGGACTTACCACACTTTCTTATAATTGTTTTTGTGCCTTCAACACTTGAGCGTTAGCTTCTTAAAAGGACCCAAAATAAGTCTTGTTTTTATCCCAGCTCTTAGCAGAATCTGGCCTATAACAGGTAACTAATAAATGGTGGTTGAATGAAAGAATGAACAAGTCGCACATTTCTGAATCCTTCTTCCCTATTCCAGTCTTCCTTAACTTTAGGCAGAGTGAGCAAGACTCCTGTGAGGATTCCCTGTGGCCATATTTTTGTTCAGTTCCCTGGTGCTCCTCCCCCCTGGCCTACAAGCTGGCCCAGTGTCCATGGCACACCACCAGGGGGCAGAGGGTGGCCAGCTTCGGCCAGGTCTTCATTTTCTCTTCCCAGGCCCTGCGTCTGGCCCTGTGGTGGGTGCTGTAGTGTGCTGCCGAGATCCCTCCTTCAGGATCTTGGTGCTCATTGTCCCAGCCACTGAGTGTTGGCAGCTGATGGCTCACAGCTGAATACTTCCCTGAGAACTACCTGTGGCTGAAGGCAACTGTCTTGCCAAATGCAACACACCTTTCCTGGGGTAGCAGGTACTCAGTGACTGATTGATGCAGGGGTACAAAGGCCTTGACCCTTTGCCTCAGTTTCGGACAACTCTGAAGGTCTCTCCCAGCTCTAGGGCTCCTGTGAAATCAGTTGAAGCCTCTGTTGCAACTGAAATGCATTTCCACCTGCCTCGTTCTGCTCTTCCACTCCTTTGGAAAGTCTGCTCCAATAAACAACCTGTACACAAGTTTTCATCTCAGAGTTTGTTTCTACCTTAAGATATTCCCCAAACTCAACATGAATACTGTATTAGTGCCCCAATCTGACTCTGATTCGATTTTTGCCTTCCTCTGTACTAAATCCAAAGTGATCTTTTCTAACACAATCTGATCATGTCACATCCCGTCTGAAAATCCTTCAGTAGCTTCTCACCGCTCTCAGAATAAAGCGCAAATCCTAACCTTGGCCTACAAAGTTCTGCATGATCTGGCCCCTGCTGACTTCTCCCCGCTTTCCACCATCCTTCCCACTTCCTCGGTTCCTACTCTCTGGCTAT